ATATTCGGACCAAACAGCACCTTGAACAAGAGGACAGTTCCGGCATTGCCCAGCATGCGATCAGCGAAGGGCACTCTCTCAGTCAGGCCAATATGTCTGTTATTGAAAAAAATCATTCTAAATTAGGCTGGCTGATAAAGGAATCCTTGCATATAGTAGCAATGAAATACCGGATGTGCAATGAATACATATTTTCCATGGTTATTATTGAAAGCTATTCACGAATTCAATACGCAGAATTTGGTCAATATAATAAAGATACGATTGCATTAAATGTGAACTTTGCCTTACGTTTATTGGTTAAAATTCTGGTCAAACAGCTTAACAACGGTTTGCTTGTTAAATGCGTGCCGATGATAAAACAGTGGCAATATTCGTTTGTTACTTTTAAATGCCTTGAAGCAACCATTTGTGCCCTGATGATGCCACGGAGTATGAAGCGAAACGCGTTGGCAATAAAGACTTCGCCATTTTTTGCTCTGAACCATGAACCGTTCAATCAGCTATATGCATAACTATTAGCCTAGAATCAAACACCTCAGGTCTTATTTAAAACAACTTATTTCAGTCATTGTTAAAAATTGTCACCTCCGTTCTGGAAACAGAAATGTCAGATGAAAGTTTAAGAATCGATCGCGCCTAAAGCAATCTTGAAGAAGTGCACAATATTTACTTCAGTCATTTATGGACTGAAATCACATCAAATTCTAGAACAAAACAATTTGTTCTGCAGCACATGTACATCAAATAGGAAGATGTTCATCTCACCGTAATCTGCTGCCGCTTGGGTTGTTGTTATCATCTCTAATTGTCTCTTTAATATTTTAAATCAATGAAAATTTGGTCCTTCGTGACTTTATTATGACAGCCGTAATTGGAAAGCAGGGTCTTCATCTCTGACTTTTATGACCCCTTCTCGTAGGCAGACGCGTCTTATAGTGGTTCCAACGTTTCTGATCCTGAAGCAGAGTCTGAGCATCGGCAGAAGACAACCGGAGTCTGGAACATAGTCCTTCCATATATTTGCACCAAGTTAATTCGGGTCGTCCCCTGGGCCTTCTGCCGGTCGGTTTGGCAAGAAACGACTGCTTGGCTTTCCTTTCTGGAGGCATTCGCAACACATGCCCAAACCATCGCATCTGTGACTTCTCAATCTAGAGAAGCAGAGGTTGTACATGTCAGCATTCTGGACCATGCCGAGACGCGTAAAGCCAGT